TTAAACTTCCAGGAGCTGTTGATTCCTTTATATAAACTGGGAAAACTGTCACTAGCCAAGGGAGAAACTTCTATTTATTTTTTATCATGTTGCTTATCAAGCAATATGAAAACATCAGTCTTAGCTACTGTATTCTATATGCTTAATAAAACAGGAAATTAAATATAAAATAGTATTATTCAGGTAAAATTATGGATTCAAATTATTAATTTTTCATAAATATAGTGCCGGCCCACTCTGTTCAGGAAAGTTCAGAGCTCCGCAGGTGCATTTCCTGTCTGCAGGTGAGGTCCTCCTAGGCTGGGCCTCTGGGAGGTGGCCCAACCCTCAAAGGATGGCTATGAGTGACATCTGCCCCAGGTGCTGCTGGGGGAGAGGCTGAGGAGCATGGGTCTTGGGCTCATATGGAGCCAAGGGTTTTCTGAGAGCTGATTTGAAAGGCAAGGAATTGTTTGTACATGAAAAATTTTTTCTAGAGCAAAGTAAGATTTTGTCTCTTTTTCAGTTTAATATATACACTGTCTATGTTTAATATTGTGCAAAATCTATATAAATATTATGCAAGGTTGAGCCTCAGGCTGTTTCTCTTTGCTATTCTTGGACTGGTTAAGAAGCAAAGAGGATAAAACCCAGCTAGGCTTCACCATTTCTGAATGCCACGCTTGGTTGTCACCTGGGAGGACTCCAAGCCTCACTGTACCTTCCTATGGCTGGTGGAGTCTTTAAATGACAAAGAGGCTATCAAGTCATTTCTGTATACAGCTCCATGTGGGGCAAGCCTGAGCGGGACATGAACGCCAGGTATTTGTCCTTCCCAGACCCCATGGAGCCTGCACCCCAGGAGGTCGACCTCCCGTGGCACTGATGGCATCCTTGATAGTTGCCCAAGCTTCCCATCCCCCCTCCTCCACCTGTGGGATCACAGTGGCCAACACTCTGTCTCCCCAGGGGCCATAAGCTTGGGGTCCTCTTCCTTACGCATTTCCCTCCCCGTTCCCTCCTCCCCGTGGTTGTGCTGGCCCTTTCCCAGGAAGGGATACTCTGTGCCTGTTGTCTACAGTTTACAAATCCTCAGCCCTCTTAGTGCAGCCCAGCCCAGCTGAGAATGTCACTTGTTGGCATTGCTGTGAAGACAGTGTGCACCCGCACCCCACCCCCAACTCCCCGGGGAGCAGCAGGATCAGGTTCCTGAGATCAGAAGCAAACCAGAGCAGAGGCCTGTGAATCAGCATCTTCTGGAACCTACAAAGCATTTCAGCCAGTGCGTGCTTCCAAACTAATCAGCAAACCCAGCATACAGATTGCTCAGTAGTGCAGTAAATATAAAATTATGGCAATATTTCGTAACATTTATAAGGATTCTAAAACGCCATAATTCCATAACCCAGCAGTGCTATTAACTTTGTTAAAAATGTGACTGATTGCACACAGACTTTTAAGACTTGTGGAGACATAAAAATGAAGTGAAATTCCCCCATGCAGCCTTCCTTGACTTTCTCTTCCTAAGAACAATCACCATCAACAAATCCCCAAGAAAAATGCTTAATCCTTCAAGAAAAATGCTTTAGGTGGAAATGCCCAAAGATCTGAATCAGGCTTACACCGTAGACTGTTGCATACTTTTTTTTTTTTTTTTTTTTTGGTGGAACCAGGGATTGAACTCAGGCCCTTGCATTTGCCAGGCAAGTGCTTATTCTACTGAGCCATCTCCCCAGACCACTGCACACACTTTTGTACTGAATTCTTGCGGGAGAGAGAGGCTCCTGAATCCAATGGTTGTTTGCGTTTAATGTTTCAGGAATGCCAGCACTGTCCACCGAGTGGGGGTCCTCATATGCGTTCCTGTCAGCGCTGTGCCTGGGGTCCCTCCCCGCGCTCATCCCAGTGTGTCTCTGGAGTCCTCTGGCTGCTCTTTGTACCTTCTGTGGTAGGAGGAGGTCACTCGGCAGTGTGCCCTGGCACTTCCTGATTGGCTGGCGGGAGCGTCCTGCCATCTACCTGCCGGCCAGCCGGCCGCATCTCCTCTCCTGGGAAATGATGCTTGTGTACCTCTGTTGCCCAATTTCAGCCCGATTACGTAGCTTTTTTGTTATTAAATCGAGCTCTTTATATATTCTGGATATTGATCCCTTGTTAGAGGAGTGGCTTTCAAGTGTTTTCTCCCATCATGTAAGGAATGTCTTCACTCTGTGGTTTCCTTCACAGAGCTAAAGCTTTTAAATTTGACAGAATCACGTGTATTTTGAGAACACCTTTGCTGCTTGTGCTATTGGGGCCTAATCCAAATGTCCTTTCTATTCCATGATTTTGAATATTTATATTATTCAATAATAATAATATATTATTATATATAATAATATTTATAATAATCTATAATATTTATAATAATCTCACTTATATTTTCTTCTAGTAGGTCCATAATTTTAGCTCTAACCCCATTTATTTTTTTCCATAATTTTATTGAGAAACAAATAGCAATGAGACAGTTTCAAATCAAACTGGTAGGACAGTTTCAATAATTAATACTTTGTGTACTGTCTTCCTCGTGGTTATTTGTTGTACAAGATGCAGACATGATATCCTATCTACAAACACTATTAGAACAAATCCCTCTATTCATTTTATACATTTCTGCTGGATGGTTAAGACCAAGATAAAGCAAGACCTATGTAACAAGAATTGTAGCTTTTGCATCTGATAAGGTTAGTCTAATCCCCTCAGGATTTATCCTGAAACCCTGTACCTCAGATTATAAATCCTTTGTCAGTGTCAGCCATGTGGATGAGGCACGGCCGTTGCTTGGCCAAGGTGCTCTCTGTGAAAGCCGGAGAGAATGTTTTCTCTCCATGTGGCTCTCCTTAGGCACACTCTGCATCATCGATCGCTTACTCCATTTAAACCTCCAGCTTGTTCCAAGTTGATTGTGTAGGTGGTGGGAGACAGGAGTCCAGGAGTCTCGCTTCACTCTTCTCTGTGTCAGGATCTGCATTTTCTCAGCATCTCTCATCAGTGAGACTGTCCTTTCTTCAGAAGCATTCTTAGGATCTTGGTCAGGGTCTTATGACCACAGATGCGTTGGGTGGGTTTCCTGCTAGGCAGTCTGATCTGCTCCACTGACCCACAAGTCTGCCTTTGTGCCAACACCATGCTGTATTAATCACAAAGACTTTGCAATGTGTATTTTAATGAATACATACAAATTATCCATTTTATTAAGGTATCACATGGCGTTTCAATATATGCCTTTGTAATGTCTAAATTGAGTTACATGTATCCAGCTCCTCAATCAGTAAAATACCTCCTTTAGTTTTTGAGAGTTTTTCAGGGAGTCTTCATACAAATTGGGGAATGGTTTTCTGAGCTGTGAAGGATGTCACTGGTATTTTGTTGGATATGTAGAGGGCTCTGGGAAGAATGGGTATCTTGAGCATATGGATCTTCCAGCCCGTGAACACAGAATGTCTTCCACATTTGGGTATCTGCCTCCATTGCTCTCATCAATGTTTTATAACTGTATTGCGGATATCTTTTGTCTCACTGACTTCAAGTTGCTCTGACACGTTTTCTAGAGATATTATAAATGGGGTTGCCTTCTTGATTTCTATTTCAGATAATTTGTCACTAGCATATAGCGGTGCTACTGAGGTTTTGTACGTTGATGTTGCATCTTGGCATCTAACTCATTTATTAGTTCTAATGTTTTGTGTCTCTGGGGTTTTCTTTATATACTATCATGTAATTTGCACACAGTGATAATTTGATATTTTCCTTTGCAAGTTGCATATCCCTTAGTGTCACCTGATTGCTCTGGCTAGGACTTCTAGAGCCATGTTTAATAAAGGTGCTGAAAATGTCAGCAGGTCCTAGGGAAAAAGCTTCCAGGTTTCACCCATTCAGTATGCCGTTGGATGCAAGCTTATTGCATTTGGCGTTTATGACATTGAGGTGTGTTCCTTGTACTGCCAATGTTAGTGTTTCTATCGTGAAAGGATGTTGAGTTTTATTGAGTGGTTTTGTTGGATCTAATGATACGATCATACAGTTGTTGGTCTTCATTCTGTAGATGTGATGCACCACATTTATTGATTTGTGTGTGTTGGATGATGCTTACATCGCTGGGATGAATCTTACTATTCATGGTGTGTGATCTTTTATAGCATATGATATTTTTCAGTGTAGAAGTGCTTATAATAAAGATTAACTATTTCACTTGGACTGTGCATTTCAAAAGTTGAGCGATGTCTTGGGCAGCTAAGGTGGTGCCTTCGGAGCCACATTCCCTACACTTTTCACATTCATTTACTTGTCTTTACTCTCACTGTGGTCAAACTGGGAAAATATTTGTCAGTCAAAAAGGAAACACCAAATGTAATTTCTCAGTTTTGCTCCTTTGTCACTCTTTTATGCTTAAGAATTTTTATAAAAATCATTCCTGTTCGATTTCCTTTAGTACTTTGCTCAGAAAGACCTTCTTGGTCCCTAAATAAGTTCAAATAAGTTCCCTTCTGCTTTCTCCTGGATTTATTTAAGTTGTACTTTTTTTAAGAATGTATTGCATGGTATTCGTGTTCTAAAATTCCCTTCAACAGTTTTGCAAGGTGGTCTCTTAGGAATCTATGCAGATCTGTGACTGGGAACTTCCCCTCTATACTAATCTCTGAAACTACACGTCTTTCCTCCTGGACTGAACATCTCCGCCCGGGAAGCTCTGTTGGTTTAGAGCTGAAGTTGCTGACTGTGCAGTCGTTCTCTCTCCTCCCAGAGCTTGAACTTCGCCCTCTTGCTGCTGCCCTTTCTGGAAGGATGTGGGTGAGGGAAGGCGCCCAGGGTCCTCTCAGCCCCTGTTCTGGCCACAGAGTTTGAGCCTTTCCAGAAATTGCCCTGATTGGAGAGAACATCGTACTTGCAAAACAAATACAAAAATCACACAAAGAGACCCTCACAGAAGGGCTGCCCCTTGCGAGCGTAACTGCTTTCTCTCTTCCTCCTTGTTTCTCCAGTCAGGCATGATAAGGACAGAGGAAGCGGACTACTTCCTGAAGCCGCTTCCGCCACACCTAGCGGGGAAGCTGAACGTCTCCACCCAGGACCGTCCTCCCTCCCACCTGCTTTACAAGAGATCCACGGAAGGCCGGGCCCCCCAGGCCAACGAGGTCCTGCTGGTCTCCAGGCGGCGGGAGCTGCCCAGCCTTCAGCTCCCCGAAAAGCAGCATTTCTGTGGAAGGCGCAAGAAATGTATGTAAGAGGGCAATTCTTTTCACGTTGAATGATTTGGTCCTTATGTGAGCTTTCTGAAGTTAAATCCTTGGCCAGATCACAGCATTTTTAATATTTTTCTTTTAAATTTTGAGATAAGTTATCACTAACTTTTCTAAAGTGCCCAGTTGAACTCGAACTTGTGAACCTCCAGCCTCCACCTCTCAGAGTGTTGGGGTTACAGACATGCATCACTATGCCAGCCTAATGAAAAATTCTTAAACATGTCAGCATACAAAGTGATGCTGATTCTGATTTATTGCTGCTACACTCAAGCAGTGGTTCCGGGGGGTTCCCTATCAGCCAGTTCAGTGTGGGACCTCTTTGCCTGGAAGGATAGGTAATCATAGATGGTTTCCCCTGGGCAGATTAAATGACACTGCTCAGAAGTATAGAATCCACCAGACATCTTCAAAAGGCCCCTGGCTTCTCTGCTCAGTAATTCTATATTTTTGAGGTTTAGATTTATTAAAGCCCACATACCTTTCCTATTGAAGCAATTTATTCATACCCATATGTATATCCCGTACTCCACCACATCAAAGAACAGATGAAACACGATGTCATTTACCTGCAATTCATCACCAGGGCTTTATAGACGTCTTCTTTGTCATGACCATTGAGGAGGTGGTCTGTTATTTGCATTCGGTGGAAACCTCTCCTGGTTTCAGGAACTGCAGTGCTTTACGATTCCCTTTGCTTCCTTGGGCTGTCTCCTCTACCTCCCCTTGGTGACACTTCCCCTGCTGCATGTCCAGAGAGTTTGGGCTCCCCTAGCCCATCTTTCTTGTGCAGTTGGTTTTGACGACTGCTGTATCTAGCACCCTAAAATAAAGGTAAGCGTATCTCAGGTACTCAGTGAATCTTGGTGAATAAAGTGAATGAGCTGAAATCACTTACCAGCCCAACATAAACACAGCTAAAGTGCCTCTTGAAATACCTGCTCCTAAGTTCTCACCATCCTACCTATAAAAGTCATGTGCTGCATGCAAATGAACTTTGAAAACTCAAACTCGGATGAACTTCATTCATGGGTTTCGTGTTTTATCTTTAGGGGTTTGCTGGGAGTTGGGAGTGAAGTCCAGGTCTTCTGTCTCTGTGGGGTTCATACTTGAAAAGATTGTCCCTGGGTAGAGACGGAGAGTTTGCCTTCTGTGTTCACTGAAGCATCTGTTATCACAAGTTCAAGAACAGCCTGGGCAACTTAGTGACTTAACAAGACACTGTCTCAAAATAAACAGTGGAAAGGGCTGAGATGTGACTCCATGCCAGGACTCCGGGTTCCATCCCCAGCACTGAGAATGAAAACAGCACAGCAGGAAAATAAAGAAAACCAAGGCAGATAGATTTGCATAGAATAAGTGCTGAGCTGGCCCAGGCTGATGCAGGCTGTTTCTCAGTCCCAGACATTGCTGTTGGCCGGTAGAGGTTGCTGCGTGAGCCCTGGACAGTGAGACCAACACCACACAGCACTGTGGCCCTAAATCCAACCCCACATTTCTGGCTGCCCTGCCCTGTGCTGCAGCCTGGCTTTGTCCTGTGTACATTATTTGGCCAGCCATGGAAATCACCACCAAAATTTCAAGGCCAACCAGTTCAGACCTGAGACCTTCTCTCCACGCTTTCTAGGGAACGGTCCCAGGCAGGTTTTGTGTGTTCCTTATGCCTCATGGTCCATCCTGGGGTCCTGTACATGGGAGGGCTGGAGGCTGAGTGAGTCACAGAGACAATCCGAGGGGACGATCACCCCTGCCTATCAGTAAGAGCTATAATGGTGCATGATCAGCACACTAAACACGAGCCCCTGAGATTCCTACTCCCCATGGTCCTGCAATTACCGCACTCCAAAGACTCACTAGGTGTGGAGGTATAGGCTGATTCTCCTTTCAACCAGAAGTGTTGCTGATTTCAAATTTTCCGCGTGTTGAAATCTTTTCATATGTAATGAGATACCGTAGGGGTGGGGTCTGAAACTTAACACGAAATCTGTGTTTCACATGCACCTTCCCCACAGCCGGCGGTGTCTGGCACAAGGTTGTTAGTGCCCCTGTGTAGTGAAGGTGACCCATCCCAAGAGGTCAGGAATAGAATTTTCGATTTGTGATGGCCTGTCAGTGCTCAAAAGATTTTGAGCTTTACAGCATGCACTTGCCATATTTTTTGGATTAGCGATGTCAAGTATTTTAACAAAAAGAGATAAAACTCACTGACTGTGAGCACCGGTCAGAAGACAGCACCATTGGCTCGTGGTGCACGTCAGTGGGACATGTGGCTTGCGCATGAGACCTTTCTAACTGTGTCGTCTGAGGCAGTCGTTAAACCTCCTTGTTTTCATACGATGGTGACTTAATGATCTATAAAGGCCAAAGATGTTTTAAAGGTATAACTCAATGAAGCAGAGTGTATTTCCCTTCCTAATTGAGTTAGACAGCTGTGCATGGCACTTTCTAGAAAACTTAGGCTCTGCAGTGAAACGGAGCTGCCACAGAGAGGTCAGAGTCCTTTTCAAGCTATGTAGCACAGTCAAATTGCAAATAGGAAAACAGTGCCAGCCGGCGCTCTCCTGGTCATTGTCCTTCCGTCGCTTCCCCAGGAACTCTGCTGCTGAGCAGCCTGCTCCCCAGATCGCAGGCCTGTGGCGTTTGGACTTTGCTTCAAATGCTAGGACTGCAGAGCACAGAGTCCCCTTTCTTCACACTTTAAACTAGGACAAAATTACAGAAGGAAGTAGAACAGGAATTTTCACACACTGATGCAGTGAGCAGCAGCTACAGTGAATGTTTACTGTCAAAAGGTGATTACAATAAAAGGCACATTGCTGTGAGTCCCCCTCAAATATCCCCACTTCCCTGGAAACGCATGTATCCCGTGGTTTGTGCCACTTTCAGGGCGTGGTCTCCCATGAGTGTCTTTGGAAAATTTGATAAAAAAAAAATTGATGAACGCTGCAGCCAAGTAGGAATGGGACCCTGTGTCCTCATGCCCCTGGTCACCAGATCTGCCACTGTGTGACTTCTGGCTGTTCCCAAAGCCAAAATGACCGTGAGAGGGAAGCATTTTCAACCCCAAGGCAGCCACAGCAGCACAACTAAGGCCGGTCTCGAAAGAGAATGCCGGCGCTGCTTCAGAAAATGGCAAGCACGGCGGGATGAGAGCGTAGAGTGAGGGCGGGGCTCGGAGGAGGACCCCGGGTGGCATCTCTTTCACTGTAAGAATTTTTGTTATTTAAACACACCTCATGTAGCATACCTCGTACATGAGACAGACTTTACCTGTGGAGTTCTGTTTAATACAACTTTTGTGTCACAGTGTAATAATGCTTATGTTTTTATTATGATTGTTCACTTTTTAACTTTATGAGAAAATAAAAATTTCATGACAAAATAATAAGAGAATAATAATAGTTAATTCATTGTATACCTTTATCTTCAAAGTAGTTACTCAGAGTACAAAACAGCCTAAAAGATTCTTACAAAAAAGGAAACAAAAAATAATATAAAGCTTTCTTGGGCTGGGGAGATAGCTCAGTGGCTTAGGTGCCTGCCTGGCAAATAAAAGATCCTGAGTTCGATCTCTGGCACAAAAAAAAAAAAAAAAAAAAAAAAAAAAAAAAAAAAAAAGGAGAAAAATAAAAACTTTCTTTGCAATGAGCTAAGATAAACTAGTTAAATGAAATCAGTTAGCACATATGCTGAATTACTTTGGAAATTATAGACTATGTGATATTTGAGCTTCTCTCTGCTTCCTATTTCTCTCTCTTCGGTTTTGCTGTTTATTCATATATAGGTGTAGATAATAGGTCTCTACATAGATAGACAGATATATACGTAGATATATAGACATATAGACATAGAGATATATAGATATATACATGCATAGGTTGCATTTTTCATATAAGCAGGCCGTGTAGGACCAGGGCCAGATAAGCATAACTCGAGTGCCAGCTCTGGTTCTGTGGCCTTTCTTTCCTCCACTCTTCCCTGTCCCCCGCAGACATGCCACAGCCTCCCCACGGTGACCTCTTCATCTTACCTGATGAGTATAAATCTGGCTTGCGATCGAAGCGCTCTCTACTCAAGTCCCACAGAAACGAAGAGCTGAATGTGGAGACTCTCGTGGTGGTGGACAAGACCATGATGCACAACCACGGCCATGAAAACATCACCACCTACGTGCTGACCATCCTCAACATGGTAGGGCCTGTGGCCCTGGTGGCCAGCTGGGGAGTGGCACCTGGAGACAATGTGTGCATGGAGGGGGGCGTGGGTGTGTGTGTGTGTGTGTGTGTGTGTGTGTGTGATGTTCCACTCTTTATTTGTGGGCTTATGTCTCGTAAACAAGAAATACTTCAGGAAATGGCTCTTTCCACTTTGCTCTGCTCCCATCCAAGGAGACATTTCTTCAACTTTAGCGAATAAAATAAGGGGGAAAATGGACTTGACTGTCTTTTGTCAGCCTGGGAGACCTTTCGGGGGCTCCAGTGTCACTCTTTATTGGGAGTCTCCAAGGAGAGGCTGAAACTTCAGAGCCTCGGATCTGTTCATCAGCATTTGATGCGCGATTTTAGAGGACTATGCAGAAATCCCCTCCTTTCGGAAATTCTGGTGTTCTGATGACTGTGAATTAGTTTGAGTATGAAAATTTACAGAAAGCCGCCCAGGCTCACGGAGAATCACGGCAGAGGAAGTGTGTCTCGGTCACAAAGCGGTAGCTGCAGCAATGACTGAGGAGCTCTGGTCAGCTGCCACGTGTGTGCACGTTCTGCGTCGCCACAAATGTGGGCTCCTCGCGTGTTTTTAAGGGCAGTCTGATGAGAATGCTGTAGAGGTGTGCTGTATGGTCTCCTTCGCAGGAAGGAGCACCCGGAGCTCGTCTCGCTCTCTGTGGTGTTGCACACGGCTGTGCCAGCATCATTTCCACCGGATGAAGTCCAAGATAGATAATGGAAGAGACCAGATGCAGGGAGGAGAGCCAGCCCGGGGCTGGGGAGGCGGAGGAGACGCTGTGCAGGGCCTCGGGCCAGCTCTGCTGCTGGGTGGAAGCCTGGGCCCCGCTCTGCAGACTTGTCCAGGATTTACTTCTGCTCTGTGGGGCCCAAGGGCCCTGCTGAACAGCCCACCCTAGTCCCTCATCCCTGCTTCTATCCCTGAGTGCTGTTCCACTCATTCATTTCTTATTATTTCTTTAATTTTTAAGAAATGTATGTTTTTATTGACTTGGTACAGGGTCTCGATATGCAGCTCAGACTCATAGTGATCCTCTTGTCTCAGCCTCCCCAGTGCCGGGATTACAGGCGTGCACCACCACACCTGGCTTAGGTGGCCCGTGCAGCATGCCTGGGGTTCTGGGACAGCATGGCCTGCAGTACCAGGAATCAAACCCGGTTCCTTGTGCTTGCCAGGCAGGTGCTTAGATTGCTGAGCTATCTCCTCAGCCCCCATTTCTTTTTCTGTGTTCCATGCTTTGCATTTCTCTTTGTTTTCTTACCATATTTCCCTTTTCTTTCCCATGTCCTTTTCAAATTACTTTTCTTAGTGCAAAGACGAAATATACAATACCCAAAGTCCAAGGAGGAAAGGTTTGTTTTGGCTCGCAGTTTATAAGGGCTTCAGCTCATAGCCAGCTGGCACCAAGGCACAGGGGCACGGCTGAGGAGAAACAGTCTGTGGCAGAGCAGGCAGGAGGCAGCAAGCAGCCATGCCACACCAGCAGCCTCCCTTTCCCCCTTGTCCCAGGCAGGCTACAAGCCTTCAGGGTTGAGTCTGTTACACCCAGGCTGGCCTTCCCATCATCCACACCCAGAACTATGCTAAACCAATCAGTGAACTAATCCAGTCCTACACACCCACCATCCAGCCACCTCCCCAAAGCCTCACCTAGGGGGGCATTAGGCGTTGGGTGACACCTAGATACCAACGGTAACAGTTCTCTTAATCTTATTCTAAACATTTCTCTTGTGCTTCTGAAATGTCATGCTACGAGAGCTTGGATGTGCTTTGCCTAGGTAGTCACCACTATGTATCAGAAAAATTGTTCCTATATTCTTCTTCTTATTATTTTTAATGCATTTGGTTGTTACAGGGTCCCACTATGCAGCTTGGGCTCATAGTGATCCTCCTGTTTTCAGGGAGGTGGGCCTGGCCCAGCATGTGGTACTGGGGATCAACCCATGCTCCCTGCACTTGCCTAAATGTGCCTAAGAAGGTGCTCTAGTCCTCTGAGCTACCTTGCCGGCCCTGTCCCTATGTTCTAATGAGGATGCTTTCCCACTCAGGGGCCTGCAATCCCTTCATCAGTACTCAGTGATGACGGGTGATGGAACTCTCCACTCCCACCCAGAGCTTAACTTTTTACCTTCAGGCAGGAACAATGAGGACTCCACATTGGTGGTTAGATATGCTTCTATCTCTTACCCAGCCAAATAAGAGAATTACAGCGATTCACTCCTGTTTCACAGCAGAATCCCAGGGCGGGACGATGCCACAATCTGGGAGGCTGACGTAGCTCTGCTGTCTGTTCCAGGTGTCTGCACTATTTAAAGACGGAACAATCGGAGGCAACATCAACATTGCCATTGTAGGCCTCATTCTGCTGGAAGAT